GATGCTTAGGACTGCCTCATTGACCAGCCTTTGACTGGCTCCTAGTAATCTTTACCCATGTACTCTCCCCAACTTTTGACTAGCATTTCAGCCTCTTTCAAACTGAGATATCAACGATCCAATCATCAGCATGAAGAAGCTCCAGAAGACGGATCTCCGCCCAAATTCCCCCTAACAGGCTGAAATGCTAAGTCAAAAGTGGCTCCTTGGCATTAGCTATTATCTTGAACATCTGCTTAGCTGCTGACCATACTAAATTGATAAGAGATAACATGGCTAAACTCAGAAAAAGACTCAGATAGAGACAACAATTCTTTGAGTCAGGACAGAGCTGATACGAGAGATGGTTTAGTCGGTCCCCCTAGATTACCACCCTGATCTCCTCCATTATGGGTCCCCTAATCATAATTTTCCTGATTCTACTAGTTGGGCCTTATATTCTAAATTGGCTGATCCAGTTCATAAAAGATCGGTTCTCTGTCATACAAGACAAGCGTTGGTGTTGACCCAACAATATCATCAGCTCAAACAACAGGGGACAAAAGTTAACTCTTCCTAAGCCCGAGAATGGAAGATTCCATTCTAAGTTAAAAGAAAATGGGGGAATGAAAGACCCCAGCCTCACACTAAGTTAAACATGGCTAACGCCATTTTGTGAGACACCACTGTTTTATAAAACTCTGAAGGCCAGATGAGAAACTGGAAAATTACTGAGAAATCCTAGCTGTGTCACCCACTTGGGATATCTGTGGTCAGGCTGCCCCAGTCATACTAAACACAGTTTGTGTTAATCACTCTCATAGATATCTGTGAGACTGTTTCAGCTAAGATAGGGAAAAACAAAATAACAGGTGGCAGGCCACGTCAAGGGGTCATCCTACTCCCCTTGACCACCCAGTTCCTAGAATCTTGGTGCCCCTGCCAAACTTTGACGCAAATTGTGGTCTCGTGTAAACGTACCAATCAGCCCCCTGTAACCATGCCCTCTCGCTTCTGTACCAGTGCTTCTGCTCTAAAACCCTATAAAAACCCCAGTTTTTCCCCAAGGAGGCGCGCAGGGTTCTCCTGAGTGACCTTGCTGCCCCGAGTACTCGTGAATCAAAATAAAAGCCTCTTGCTGTTTGCATCCGAATGGACTCGTTGTTCTTTGGGAGGGGTTCTCTCTGATGGAAGATACCCTCCGGGGATCTTTCAAGGTCTAGGTTCAAATGAGAGAACTTACATCAAAGTGCAGTGGAAAGAACCATCAGTGAGGACATTCTCAATACTATCCATGGGTCCCCTATGTTTGTATTACACATACACATACATTGTGTGTAATATACATTGTGTGTAATATACATTGTGTGTGTGTAATATAAACATGGGAAAACAGAGGGTAATTTGAACAAGTGCTAGTTCACATTCTTGATAGTTGACATGGACATACATTCACACATGCCACAAACATACAAAAAAAATCTTTAAAATACCAAAGGAAAGTCATTTCTCTACTGCTTTCAGGCAGCATCCTAATGAAGCTGATATTTACTATCCATGGGCTTAAGTATTGGGGTAATATGGAAAACGAGCCATACAAACCATTATGTTCAAAAATCTCTCTCTCTTTGTTTATTTCATTCACTAAATCTGTGACCTTATTCCCAAAGTAAAATTAAAAATAAAATTCAGAAGCAAAAATGAAGGTAATGTATTGTGTGTGTACATGTGTGTGCTTACCTGCATATTTATGTTTGTGTGTTGGGAACAGAGGTCAACCTTAGATATATTCCTTAGTCTCTCTCCACCTTATATTTTGAGTGAGGTGTTCTAACTGTCCTGGAACTCACTGATTTAGCTAGACTGTCTGGCAAGAAAGCCCAAGGGATCACCTCTCTGACTCCCCAGAGTTAGTGGTAATGTTTTTGTCACTATGTTCACTTTTTCTCTTCCTTTTTAATATATACACACTGGAGAATGGAACTCAGATCCTCATACCTCTACTTTCCACTCACTATGGAATCTTCCATACCCAAGGCAATGTATTTAACCACAGCCTGATTTGATTCAAGTTCCAATATTAGCTAAAAATGAATCTTTACACATTTCTGTACAATGTTTGTAGAAGACCAGTTTGATAGACTCTCCTAGACCATTTCAAAGTTTAGACACTCTTTGTAACACACAGCTACAGTTAAATGTAGTTGGTGATTTCTTAGTTTTATATTTAGCAGCATGTAAGTTAAACATTGGGGGTTAGAATTACTCTTCCAGGGTAGGTATGAAAAGTTTCATGCTTCAAGTGTAAAAAAAAAGAAAAAATCGAGAAAATTTAAAAATGTAACAAAGGAGAAACAGACCATAATTTCACTATCAAGTATACTTAGAAATAAAATTTAACTGTGACTAATGATGTTAATTGTGCCAGTCAGTGTCAAAGCTGCTGATAGTAGTTAGGATAGGGTGGAAACTGCCTTTCCTTTGTACCTTTCAGCTCTGAGAGCCTTGCAGATTCCATAGGCTTTGTTCTAAACTCTCTCAAATTAGTCCTGTGTGGAGGCTTAGTTCTTCATAGATGTTGAGGAAGGGACTTCCTGCCTTGAAAGGAAAACAAACAAAACAAACAAACAAACAAACAAACAAATACTTGAAAAGTGAACCAACACCTCAAGCATGGTTTATAGCCCTTTGCCAGCTGTTCCCAAACAGAGAGAGATCCCCTCCTTGAAATGCACCCTTAGGCCGAGGGAGGCTAAAAGAAGGGTACTTGGATCTGCAGAAAAAAAAAAAAAAATACAAACAAACAAACAACAAAAAAAAAACCTTGGATTTTTTTAAATGGAAACAAAATAATTCAGAGCTGCATCTCCCTCTTAAAACAACTAGGTATGATTTCAAACTCCCAAGAAAATAAATGATCCCCCGTCCATTTTAGCCTGTAAAGTCAACATAAAATTTTGAAATTGTTCTCTGGGCAGGAGGACTGATTATTTTTCATTCGAAACTGAATAGCAAACCAAGCACAAATCTGTAAAAAAAATTATGTGGACTTCAATACTGAGAAACAAAATAGAAGTGCTTTCAAAGAATATTTTCAAAATGAAAAGCCATGCCCAGTGAGAATATTGCAGCTGATATCATAAGTGACCCATGTAAGGCTGACAACACTGATACTCAGTGTTCCCTGTTTGCTAACTAACAAGAATGCTCATCTTACTCCTAGTCTCAATTAGGGACTAACATGGTGAACAAGCAGCAAACATCAGTGCAGCTAAAGCACATTCTTTTCAGCAAGGCTGGGCTAATATTAGAAGATGTGGTAACTGAAGTCAAGGCTATAACCAAGGAGGTTCTGAGAGGGTAAGATTTTTTATCTATCACTACGTCTTCACATTCTATGATCTTTTCAAAGAATACACTGGCAAAGTGCCGTAAACCAAAGGTGTTGGTTCACTTGAGTTTCAAGTGTTTGGTTTCAAGGATTTTTTTTCAAGTGTTTGAGTTTCAAGGCTTTTTTTCTTCGTAAACTAAAACCAGCATTTGTTAATGTGTTATTTTATTCAAAGCATTAAGTTTCTCCTTTTTTATATTTACATATGTTCATGTATGCACACATGTTCACACAGGTGTAACTGTGTGTTGCAGCCTCAGGGTGACTTCTGGTATCTTTTTTCTCTACTACTCTTCAACTACTTAAGTAATGTCTATTGACATTCTGTCTAGTCTGGCTAGCCAGCAAGTTCTTGGAGACTCTAAGGATCCCATCATTTCTACCTTGCTTTTTTGTGGCTTCCAGGGATCTGAACCCCAGACCTCTTCTTTTGGTGGAAAGCTCTGTGCCTGCTGAGTCATCTTCCCAAGCTCCAATCTCAGCCTCTGGAGACATCTCTAGGTAGTGTCACCCTAGCCCCCTTGTCTCAACTTTTCTTGTAGCTTCCTGACAACTTTTACTTACATGAAGCTCACAAGTATGGGACTGCAGCAGAGAAGAAAGTTCTCTGTTAAATCTTAGTGCAGGTGTATTACTCCCAAAAGGATAATCACTGACAATGCCAGGATATGTCTAAAATTTGCCATTTTACTTTTATATTTGAATGTTTTTAGAACCTTGAATGGTAGCTGTTCAGCCCAGTCAGATCCCTCAGGCAGAATCCTATATTTAGAAACATTGGGCAAGTGACAAAGCTGAGTTATTTGGGTAAGGTATTAAAAGTGTCTGATATAAATATGTATATATGTGTGGATAGATAGATAGATAGATAGATAGATAGATAGATAGATAGATAGATACAAGTAAATTGACAGCTACAGCCTCAGCCAATATGATGGTGAATATTAATTGTCAATTTGACAAAATCTAGAGTCAGCTGAGAGATGAGACTCTGAGCATGTCTGTAGCAAATATTAGTGATTGTGCTAATTTAGATGGTAATGCCTTCCCACTGTGGGTGGCAGCATTCCTTGGCTATGATCCTTGACTGTATAGTAGTAAAGAAAGTGATCTGAGCACTATCATAACATCCATTGTTCCTTCTGAGTATGGGTACCGTGTGACCAGCCCCTTGAAGCTCACTCAACTGTGACTTCTTTGCCATGATGGATGGTAACGTTATTCCATAAGCCCAAATCAGCCTTTCCTTACTTATGTTGCTTAGGTTGGCAGAATTTTACCAGAGCACCATGAAAAAAAAAAAGTAAGATAGCCAATGACACAGCCTTACTGACAATCAGATTTTTTCAGCACGTTTCCCTATTTTTCAGATGACACACATATTCTGTCCTAAAACTGTCATGATTGCAAGAAAGGGAGGAAGCCATTGAACACTCTACAGCTGATACTCTGACTTTCTTTGGGATAGAGCTACACTGCAATCAAGGCCTAGATTTGATCACATTATTTCTGAAAAGCAGGACTGTGCTTAAACCCAAACAGTCTGGGTACAGTAAGATGGCAGAAACACTCACTGTTTAGCATTAGCACATCTCATCTTTAGTCACTGGAAGAGGAAAGTATTTCCTACCCAGATGCTGTCTTCTTGCTTGTACTGTTGCCAGTTGTGCCCTGTGTCGCTGAACATCAGGCGATAGCTTGTCACCCAGTCAGAGCTCCCATATCGTCCCTGCATGGCCACCGCTGTAATCTCCACTCTGTTTCCCAGGTCCACCTGGAGCCACTGTTGGTCGTTGGAATCTGCTGGGGACCAACCACCAGTTCCTGGAATAGGATGAAAGAGAGACTTGTAAAAATGCCTTAGAAAGTCACTTTTTTCTATGTCAAAGAACAAGAAAACCATGCTCAATTAAGGCACATTTCCCTGACTATTAAAGTTTCAAAACCAACTTTCTCTCCTGTAACTCAGGCTTCCAGGTTCAGGGAAAGTGCAGTGTTTATGGTGCCTCCTTTTATCTCCCCCTCCTCCCTTCTCCCTTTCCTCTCTCTTTCACTCCTTTCCTTTCTCTGTCCAAATCTGTACTTATGAACCTAGCAGGGAACCCCTATTCCACGGTGGGTACAAAGCTGAAAGAAGACATTGAATGAGCATTTCACATTTCGCATTCATTGGGCATCATTTATTCATTCAACCTTTAGTGTCCACAAGGTGAATGCATGTAAAAGGGAAAGAAACTTCAAAGAAAGCATGTGAGGACCCTTCACAGGAGAAAGACAAAAGTTTCAATAGTGACACAGGGGACAGGTCTCTTAGGAGCTGCTCACAAAGGCCTTTCAAAGACAGAGACAGTAAAGATGAAACCTGAAGGATAGCCATGCCTGGGAAGATGGGAAGCAGAGTTATGCAATCACCCATGCATAGGGAACAGAGGAGGGAATGGTATATGCACAGCCACTATGCATGAGGAAGCGTGACACATTTCATATGTAACCTGCTGTACCAAGACACACAAAGACTGTCACAGCTGCTTGGGCCCAAAACTATTCATGAAATTTGAACTTTGTGGGTGGTCAATATGCATTCTCATGAACTGGAAGACTTGGGGCTTAAGGTTTTTGTGTCCTTCTCAAGTAGGAAAAAATAAATCAGTATACACTTTTATTGACTGCTGAATTTTTTATTCCTCCAGAACTTGGGGTAAGGGGTGTTGCAGAATGTCTTATGAGATGGACAAGTGTGTGGTGAAAACCAACAACTTTTTGAGTTTGTCTCCTTTTCAAGTAGGAAGAAATAAATCAGTATAAACTTTTACTGTGTACTGAGTTCTAAAGTCCTCTGAAGCATGAGTTGAAGTAACCTCAAGATGTGTAGACAAACTGTGTGATAGCCCACTCCTGTTTCTGAATAACATCAAAATTGAGTGACCATGTACACAAATACATGAAGACATGAAGTCAAAAGTGTCAACTGCGGCAGTGTTGTCCCTAGCCATGACTGATGTCATCATGATTCCTAAATATAAAGGAGTGCCATCAAGCCTGCAGTTGATGCTTAAAAGCATTTACAAGAAATTTCAATTTCAACAAAACTGTACAGTTTTCTTACATTTATTTATTTATTCATTTCTCTATCATCTATATCTATTTATTATTTTGTCTATGTGTCTGTTTGTCTCTCCATCTTTGGACATTTGTGTTCCAAGGCATGCATATGAAGGTCTGGAAACAATTTGTGGAATTTGGTCATCATCTTTTATCATTTGGGTCCTGGGAAGTAGGTGCCTTTACCTGCTAATGTTGGAGGTATCCTGATGGTTGAGATTGCAGTTCTTGCCTGTACAGCAATAGCCATTAAGAGTTCAGCTCTAAAAGCAGAACTCCTTCCCCTCACAGGGTCCCCTGCTCTCTGCCTGATTTCATCAGAAGAGTGTTTTTTAGAAACAGACTCCCCACTTGATATGTGTCTTCTGACACAGCTCCTGGTAGCTCTCTCTTCCTTGTGCCTATATTTTAATTAGGTACTGAGATTCTATTATGATAGAATCATGCCTTGTAAAACAAATCAAGTATATTTGAAGTGCCTAGTTCTAACCAATTATGTACACCTATTCTTGGAGCCACCCCACCCATTCCCCTATGGGTGTATCACCTTTGTTCTATGGAATTAAAGTTGAACTAGCCATCAGCTGTTTCTGGTGTGTGTGATCCCTGTCAGGTTCTCACGGGCCTTTCGAGGCATGCTTCTCATCTCCTGCCCCACTTGACTTCATGGCCTGCTGGGATGCAGCCCACAGGCCAGAGAAGAATCAACTTGCTGAGCCATTTCTTTTTTAAGTTAGAAGTGAAAAAAAAATATTCTACTTTAGACATGTACAGCATCTAGAATTCAACCATAGTTAAAAACAAACAAACAAACAAACATAAAGCTATGAATGATTTTATGACTGTACCCAAGTTCATTTCTAACACCCTATAAGCCTCATTAACTGCATAATTATTAGATGCTTAGCTCCATTTTAGTTTAGCAAATCAACACAGTAACTGACATCTACTGCTCAGGCCTAAGGAACTTTCAGTGGATTTTAGTGAATTATTTATAACTGATTTATTTATAATTAGTGAGTTCCATCCATAAGTAAAACTGTTTAGAAGATTTAATAACATAGCAAGATGGTATTCCTGGTTTGGGGAACATACAAGAAAAATAATTCAAATTCTAAATATTTTTGGAGGGAAAATGAAGATGTGAAATTTTAGCCATATGAAATGACAAACCTTGCTGACATTACTTCTTAAGTCTTTTGCCATTACCAACAGTTTTTTTTAACATGGTTTTACATAGCACACAAAACACATTTTATTTGTTTGTTTTGTTTCTCTCTCTCTCGTCTTTGCAAACTAGCAGTTTTTTTTTTTTTTTTTTTTTTTTTTTTTGTGGACTGATTAGATTTCAGATAGCAGGAAGCTACATATTTGCTAATGAATGTCTGCCTTGTAGAGTTTTGGCATCACCTACAATATGATGATGGTTAGTTATAAGTGTCAGTATGTCTCTGAGAGAGACATTTTTCCCATTTTTTTCTTTTTTTATTATTATTAATTACACTTTATTCATTTTGTATCCCGCCATAAGCCCCTCCATCTTCCCCTCCCGATCCCACCCTACCTCCCCTTTCTTCACGATTGCTCCTCCCCACATCCACTGATAGGGGAGGTCCTCCTCTCCTTCCTTCTGATCTTAGTCTATCAGATCACATCAGGAATGGCTGCATTGTCTTCTTCTGTGGCCTGGTATTGCTGCTCCCCCCTCAGGGGGAGGTGATCAAAGAGCAGGCCAATCAGTTTATGTCAGAGGCAGTCCCTCTTCCCATTACTATGTAACCCACTTGGACACTGAACTGCCATGGGCTGCATCTGTGCAGGGGTTCTAGGTTATCTCCATGAATAGTCCTTGGTTGGAGTATGAGTCTCTGGGAAGTTCCCTGTGTTCAAATTTTCTTGTTCTGTCTTTAATCACTGTACTAGGTGTGGCAGATCAGTCCTCATTCAGTGAGAAGATATCATGCAATCCCTGGACGAATCACATAACATGAGGAGGCAGAGCAGAGGTATCCTGGCCCCCTCTCCTGAGGCTGAAGCACCTGCCTTCTCCTGATCCTGGCTGCCATGAATCCAGGCTCAAACATCTTTGGGCTTGAAGAGTTACAGAGGGAGCTTCCCATTTTTTTTAACTTAATTTTACTTATATATTTATTTATTACAATTTATTCATTTTGTATCTCAACTTCAGCCCCTTCCCTTGTCTCCTCCCGTCCCACTCACCCTCCCTCTTCTCCCCCTATGTTGATTCCCTAGTGCCCTGATAGGAGAGGACCTCCTCCCCTTCTACCTGACCCTAGCTTAGCAGCTCTCATCAAGGCTGGCTGCATCATTTTCCTCAGCTCAAGAGTTACTCTGAGAACCTTCTCTGTTCTCAGAATTTTGGTCATGCAGGGATGTTCCAGCTTTCCTGGGTCTGTAGTTCTAAGAAATTTTACATGAGGGTCTTTTCACTTCCATAACCACATGACCAAATTCCACAATGAGCCTCTACCTGCTTATTTGTATCTATTATATGCTTATTTATTGTGTTCCCTCACATGTATGTTCATGTGCATATGCAATATATGTGTATAAATATATGTACATAGATTTCTCTCTTTCTCGAAATTCAAATGAATGCAGACATTAACTAGTTTTGCCTCTATTTGTCATTATAACCCACCCCTTTTCCTTCTGTTCTTCAAAATTCCATACTTCTTGAACAGTTTTTCTGTCTCTTCACTTCCCTTCTTAATGAGTTGGATATTCCTTGGTGTGGTCATTCTACATTTGTATGAGAGCTGTTTTTATCTATCTATCTATCTATCTATCTATCTATCTATCTATCTATCTATCTATCTATTTATTTTTACAATTTATTCGTTACATATCCCTATTGAAGCCCCCTCCCTCACCTCCTCTCAGTCCTGTCCTCCTTCCCTACCCCCCTCAACTTCCCCTCGTCCACTGAAAAGGAGAGTTCTCCTCCTCTGCCATCTGCCTATAGCTTATCAAATCTCAAGTCTTGTCAGAAATGCCTGGATCCTTTATGGCCTGGTAAGGCCACATTGCCAGGGGTAAGTGATCAAAGAACAGGCAACCAAGTTCATGACAGAGGAAGCCCCTGCTCCCCTTACTAGGAGACCCATATGGAGACTGAACTGCCAGGCGGCTACATCTGTGCAAGGGGTCTGGGTCCTCTCCATGCATGGTCTTTCTATGAAAGCTGTGGTTTTAAATTGACCAAACATCACACTCTGACAAGTATTTATCGCTTAGCAATTTAAAGCCATATCCTTGGAAATGAAAAACTGTGTATCTTAATCCCCAATCTCCAAGAGTTTAAATCTAGTTTAGAGAATATGGCTATATTTGACTGTATGTGTTTGTATATGTGCATGTGTCAAAACTGATGCTTAGATGTTTAAAAGAGGCAGTGAATTTGTATTGGTTGGAAACATGAAGTAAAGAAATGAATGTAGCTAACTTAAACAGGCTGCTGAAATTGTATACAATTTCACTACACTACACTAGAGGGGCTGGAGATTTAGCTCAGTTGGTACAGAGCTTGCTCAGGGCCTGGTACCAGCAATGTACAATTTATATATGTCCCTAAAAGCCTGGAATCCCAGCACTGAGGAGAAATAGGATGGAATAACAGAAGTTCAAGGTCATTTTCAGCTGCAGACTGAGATCTACGCCAGCCTGAGATGAATACCCAGTCGCTGAAACAACAGAATTCTGAGGCTTCAGTGGCACAGTGTGGTGACTTATTAATAGTAACCTACTGCTTTAACACTTGAAAGTTAAAAAGACTGTAGAACAAACAAATGCACACAGACAAAAAGGAGTATGTGAAGAGGAGGCTGTATCCACTAACTTGACTGTGCTATTTTACAATATACACTGATGTCAAATCATCGTACCATATAATTTAATATATACAATTAATTTGTTACTTATGCTTCAGTAACAGCATGGGGAAATAATTGAGCTAATAAGATTCATACACACCTATTTCTCTGTACAATACTGAAGTTATGAGCATCCTTTGGACAGAGACATGTAGAGGATGCCCCTAGATAGAGTAAGGGCATGGCAGATTTCTTGGTGAGTTTTGGCATGGTCATGGCATTCTGCCCTGTGCTGAAGTTCTGTCTGCTGTACTGTATAGTGAATCCACAAGGCCTTCTGACTGGAATTGCTCTTGGTTTTGTTTTGTTTTAAGTTATATTTTACATAAGCTTGCAACAAGACTGAATTCCTAGATACACAATCCAGTTTTAAGGGAGAAGTTCTTCAATATGTTTGTGGCTATCAGAATATCCAGCATTTCATACCTGTGGAGCTCTCTGTTCTGGGGGGTGGTATGTTTGATGCCTACCCATTCATAAAATTAAAGGAGAGTTTAAGGGACTCCATGTAGAAAAGGAATGCTCAGGCTCTCATTTGTTTTGAGTTTTGATAGTTTATAGACAGGACATAAATCTCATCTGAGAAGAAGTAAATTTTTTTTTCTACAATTTTCAGTAACAATTACTGCTAAGTGGTTTCTTCTTTGCTTGCTAGATTTTATAACTGCCTGTCCATTCATAGGACAAAATTCATTTTTCACAACAATAACATACTTTCATGTTTTACACTAATGTAATGGTAACATGTGTGCATACATTCCTATGTTGGATATATATTTGCATACAGATATATTCATTTCTTTATTCACTCATATGTGCATACATATTTCCTTGGGTTCTTGAGTTATGAGTTTATGTTACCAAATGGTATGCAAACTAACTTTTTAAAATATTTGTGTTTATTATTTTTAATTTAAGTGTATGTGGATATTTCCATGTGTGTTATATGCCTGTCAGAATATGGCATCATAGCCACTGAAGCTGGAGTTACAGGTGGTGGTTATTTACCCATTATGACATACTGGTCTGAGGTAGAGTACCCAGGCTCAGGCTTCCCACCATGCAGAAAATGATGGGTATAATTAATCATTGCAGAGACACTGTCTCCTGTCATTATCTGTCTAGTATAGAGGTAACTAGCCTAAAATTAGGCTCTTGGGTTCCCCAGAAGTAGATAAGGAGTTCTTAGACAGTGGTGACCTGGTATCAAACAATTTGAATAGAAGTGAGATTAATTGTGTTGGGAAGCACTTCTAGAGCTGTTTTAGTATTTCTCGATATGTGTTTCTTCCTGAAATGAAACTGCAGCCTTCCTGCCTGTATCCTAGCTTTCTGTCCTGCTGTGGCAAAGCTCTTCTCTCCACTGTGCTATGATGGGATTTTTCCCCCTTTTTGAATAGTTCAGCCCTTTGGCATCCCAAGGGCTCAGTTATAGAACCCTCTGCAAAACATTCATAGATTCTCAAGTTTTTTATATAAAATGACAGAATACTGATTCTTCCCAACAACTAATAGTTGTTAAGGCTAAATAAATAACTGCTGTACAGTATTGTTTGGGAACAATGACAAGAAAACACTCATGTTCAGTGTATAAGCAATTTTCTGTTGTTTCCACCAAATGAACAGGGAGAGACATCTGTGCTCTTAGATGGCTTGATCAAATAAATCTCTATACATCACAAAATCAATATCAAAATATGATTAAAATATAGCTAAATATCCAACATTATATTAAGTTCACTCTGCATTAAAGACCAGTCAAACCTAATTAGTCTAGTTTTACCAAACCAAGTACTTACCCAGGGTTCTCTCTATCTAGTAAGGTTACATATTATTTGTGTTCTTGCTTGTAATTAAGAACAATTAATATATACTTTAAATAATAATATTATTCTTAGCTATTAAATTAAAACTAATAATTAAATGTATTAAATATTTTAATAAACAGCCCATTAACTTATCACAAAGCATGTTTTGGTAGCTATGCTGACATGTAAATATACTTAATAAAACAAATATTAAAAAAATAATCTGAAGCAGCTGAACCTTCAAGCAATAGGCTAGTCAGACACCTTTCTTAAAGAGGGTATAACATCTGAAAAATGTCACTCAAGGCTGTCTTCTTTCCCTCCCACAACACGCAACTACATACATGGTAAACATGCATATACACAAACATGCTGTCTCGACACAAACAAGTACATGCACACATACAAATTTACACAAAGAATTTCACAGAATGCCTATGTACTCCCATGAGAGAGCCATGTGTGAGGCCCTGGGTTCCAGTGTTAACACCTCAAACAGCAGCAGCAGCAGCAGCAGTAGCAGCATTCCTTGGTGGAAGTTGACTATTACATGATGGGACATATTTTCACTATAGACTTAACTTCTCAGATTTCCTTCTGGACTGTCACTTTAGACATGACCCCTGTTTAGACAGAATGCTTCCTCTCTTTTTAGCACTCACGATGTCCTCATCTAATATATAGGTTTAGGGTTTAGTCACTATACATACCCATTCTCCAGTTCAGTTGGGCTGGGCTGGAACTTCCAGTAAGATCTGAGGAGCTGGAGAAAGCCTTTGGTGAGAGGAAAGAGGCCAATGGGTCATCACAGTTGTCTGAAAAGGTGGCGAGAACAGATGAGGTTAGATTTCACGATCAAGAAAATATTCACAAAGATGAAACTTATAAGCACTCTCTTTTATTAAGCATCTGCTCTGGGAAAGGTTGGGAGGTATTTTTCAGTGTGTGTCATGGCAGTTACTACTGCACTTTCTTCTCATGACCTTCAAACATGGTATGGCTTCTTTTCATTGATGAAGAAAATCAGGGCTGAAGGGTTCAAGCTTATAACACTCATAAATAGCATAACCAGAACTCTTAAGAAGATTTGTTTGAGTGAAAACCCAAACAACCTATCCTTTCATTTAGTTGAGCATTTGAGCAAAGCTTCACTGCATGCCTATGTTTAGGCTATGAGAAGCACAGCTCCTACAGGGCCATATTTATTCTCCTATCTTCAGCTTCCAAGAACCCTTGCAGCAAATGTGTCTATCAGAATAGGGTAAGTTTGACTTTCTTACTACAACTTGTGTGTGAGCCAGTGGGAAATGTGCTACTTACACATGTGCTCACTTATGTCATAGGAAGTGAAGAAGAATAGTCTGAGTCATTGTACACTCTTGAACTAGATAGAAATTTCAATAGCTGACTTTCTAGCCTTCCCTGGCGAGGTACTTTCTAAGGCTGCTTTGCTAACACTAAACAAGATGAAGCCATGGATTAACACATAACTTGTCAACAGAGTTATGCCTTTCCACAGTCATACTAGTCCATCGCCACTGGATTTTAGGTGGGGAAGCACAGGCTTTACACCTAGGACATACCTCATACGTAACGGGTTTGAACATTTGTGCAAACCAAAACTATCATTAAGATTTAATTTAGGACCTCCCTATGAGTGGACTTGGAGAGGGACATGGGAGGAGATGAAGGAAGGAGCATGGGATTGGGAGGGAATGAGGAAGGGGGCTATAGTTGGGATACAGAGTCAATAAACTGTAATTAATATAAATAAATAAAGATTTAATTGCCTATAAAATGTATCAAATATTAAGATGTAAAAGCAAAAGCGGGGACAGAATATGAGTAAATATATCCTTAGATTTGATATAATTTTTAAAAGGTGAAATCACAAGCAACAACAAAATCCTAATTTTGCTTTTTTTCCACAGACAGTGTCATACTTTGTCACTGAGACTGTCCTGAACTTTCATAAACCTCCTATACCAGCCTCTGAGGTGCTGGGAAGACAGGCATGCATCACCTTGCTCAGGAACAAAACTCAGTTCTATCTCAGTGAACTGCACATTTGTTTGATAACTATAGTAGAGCAATCGTTAAAACTGCGATGTGTGAGTCCTCTCTAGCTGTATCTAGCTGTAGTCACTTTCTTTCTTTTCTTTCTCTCTCTCTCTCTCTCTCTCTCTCTCTCCCTCTCTCTCTCTCTCTCCTTTTCCTTTGGAGGAGAGGAGGGAGTGGGATTGCAACTAGGATGAAAAATGAACAAATAAGTAAATTAATGAAGAAAAAAAGATTTAATTATCATGCAACCCAATTAAGAGGCAGGATCTTTAAAAGCTCCACCCTCATTGTGGGTTTAGTGTTTCAGAAGTACAGTTTCTCATCCTCTGTCATTCTATCACATAATAACTCAGCAAGTTGGCCTTGCTACATACTGAAACCTGCATATCAGACTTCTCATGCTTCGGAAATATCAACAACAACTATTCATTATAACTGACTCTGGCTCAGATATTCTGTTACAATAGCACAAGATGGTTTAGAGGACTTCATCATCAATGTGCTGTAGTGATGCATTTTTCCTGAATCACCCAGGAGGCGCTCTTCTATTTTAAGGTCTTTAACAATGAATCTACTACACAAAAGGACTCAAGTAAAGGTGTGTGTGGAAAGAGTGGGATGGTGACTTGATGTAGGCAGGAACAAGAGAGAGAGAGAGAATCAATCAACCAATTAAGCAATCTCACAAAGCAGACATTCTTTTTCTATTTTGTACACAACTGATTTTCTAGTACATTGAAAAATGACTTCCTAACATCTAGACAAACGTTATTCAAACCAGATTTGAAATGTGTCATTCAAGGAAACTTTCTGGTATGCGGCCTTGTTGGAGGACATGTTCTGACATTTGAAAAGAACATTTACATAGGATCATGGTTGTTTATCCAGCCAGTTCTTACAAAGGTTTGTTTCAGTTAATTGCAAGAAAAAAGATTAGAAACATGAGGCTCACATTCTTGTTTGTTAAGTGTGTTTAAAAATCACTTAGTAAACTGAGTTTCAGGTGTCTCCCAAAGGTAAACATCTACAAATGTTTGACAAGGATGAAACAGAGGCATATCCTAACTGGACAGAGAAGTTGCCAGAATCCCATCAATGGCAGCTTGATGTCTCTAGGACTTGGAGCATGTCAACAAGAGAACATGAAGCTTGTGGCTGCTTTATTCCTAACTCACAATGAGGCTGAAGGGCTGCATGGCACCACAAAACACTTGCTTGACCTCTCTCTCTTTCTCTCTCTCTCTCTCTCTCTCTCTCTCTCTCTCTCTCTCACACACACACATACACACACACACACAAATACAAGGCAGGCATTTCATTTGATTATGAATCTTTTGTCATTGAGAAATATCAAAATATCAAACACAGCTAGAGGTATAGCTTAATTTGCAAAGTGCTTGCTGTGCACCCATAAGGACCTGAGTTCAACCACCTTGACAATAAATTTAGAAGGATATGATCTCCATTAGACTCACAGCAATAGAAGCCCCATTCCCTACCGGCTATTCCCACCTATGATATTTCTGAGGAACAATGTTTCCACTTTGGTAGTCAGCAAATCTGTGAACATTGACTTTAGCCAAGGGAGAGGCCCAGAAAAGAACTTTAAGTGTCTTGTCCTCACAGACCAGGTGTGCTTAAAGAATAGGTTTTGAAGAACCCTTCTGAATTGAGACTTTATGTCTCAAAACAATAATAAAAATGGGAAAACTTCAAACCCGAAAGGAAGAGAGGTAGTCTTGCTTTCCTTCTTGAGTGAGGAGGTGGTTCCCTCTGGCATCTCCTTGTTTACCCAATAATCTTGACAGAGAATAAACCAGGCCTATGAGCTTGGAGGTCTCAATTTCTAGATTGGTTTCTTCTGCAAGGGTGTCTGGAGACAATCTTGGTAAGTAGACCAAGCTGTGTTTTCATGTCTGCTAAGCAGAGTCATCTGTGCCATAACAATTCATAAGCAATGTGATGGAGTAAACATAAGAGGAAGAAAAGCAGTCAGTATGAAGCCCACTTGAGAGCAGACAACAGCTTGGGCTTCTGGGGATAACTCCTGCCATCTAGAAGGAGATCTAAGTCTTACTCCTAGGATATTGCTCCTGTGCTATGAAACCTTCCCAAGAACTTCTGCTGCAGATGGCTCTTGTAAGCTAGGGGCTCCCAGTGAGCCAAGCACACAGGAGAAATACAGAAGAGAAGAGCATGTAGATGTGTGAAGGGGAAGATCACAAGGTGTACTGAACCCACAGCTGGGCATCCTGGTAGAGGCTGGCTTGACTTCACACCCAACACGTCTGGAAAGGAAGAAAAGGAAATGCCATCTGCTCCATCACTCCTGCAGGCTTCCAGGAAGCCTGCCACATTGTCTTTCAAATTTAGACTCTTCTGTTTCCTCTGTATCCTAGGGTGAATCTCCCTCCTCCAGCATGCCTCTCTCTCTCTCTCTCTCTCTCTCTCTCTCTCTCTCTCTCTCTGTGTGTGTGTGTGTGTGTGTGTATTCTATGTTTTGTTTCTACAGGGTCCTCTGACCAGGACAGGATGGAAAAACAGGTTAAGAAGAGGAAAATAGAAGCAACTCATGTGGTAGCTTCTGAGTATTTGCATGTATACTCAAGAACATTGATGCTTCATACTGCAGGGAGGGGTGGATTTGTTCTTTGGGGGTAAGACAACCACAGTGCAAGGATATTGGTTCATGGCATGGAGCAGGACACACAGAATGCATGATAAATCTAACATTTGCACTGGTTTTTAGAAGTTACCGTAAATGTTTAAGATGCTGCCGCTTTAAGTAATATTGTTTTGTTGCTGTCAACATAGATTTTTATTCATTATTGCTAAAATACCAACAGAATTACAGATGATACTAAAGTGAAATTGTGTGAATCATCTTGATTACTACAGTAAATTGTCTATATATGGGGATTTGGAGCTTAAGAGATTCACTTAAATTTACTGGCAAGATAAAATTCCTTTTAGAATTGAATATGTAATGAACTACTTTGTTTAAAAGATAAAAAGTATGAATTCTGTAGTGTGTCTTTACTGATACTTAGAGGTAATAAGTCAGGATTTTGCCTTCATTTATTTTTTTCTATTGTAACCTATAATTCCACTTAGTGAACAATGTAATAAATCCTATGGTTTTGCTTTTAAATATGACCTGTCTCCTTCCTCTGCCTTAAATCTCAAGGACAAGTAGCTTCATAATGAACAGACCAAAAGACTACAGTTCTCTAAAGCACAGCAGAGAGAACCTCACCTTAAGTGTCTGGCCTTCTGTCTCACATTTCTACACCATGTGAACATGTGATTTTTGTATCACTGAGAGACCAAAGTGACAGCTATCGTTAAAACCTAGAGTAGGTGAGTAGGTGCGGTAAAGTAGTTAGTAATGCCCTGAGGGGAGAGCTACCTTGCTGCATTCTTTCCCCACCCACTAGAGATACAGTTGCTAGGAAACTGGCCCATCCCCCTAGGAAGGAACACTTGGTCATTAATGGCCTGGGAACCTTCCTATAGCCAATCGATTCAAAAATGTAGCATTTTGACCAATAGATGCTTGCCAGGCAGGAATTGCCCCTGCCTTGGGCATGCTGGGATGGACCAGAATCTATAAATCACCCAACTAACCTGGGCACGGGCACTCAGCTCCCACCGCTTTGGCGGTGGGGCTGTGTTGGCCCAAGCTGCAGCTTGTAATTTACAATAAAAAGACGCTCATGTGTTTTGCAATGGAGTCGATTCCTGTAGATCTTTA